CAAGCCGGTTGCACCAAATATTATTTACTCTGTTTAATTATCGCTTAACGATATCTGTATAACCAGTTCCCGTTAAAATACGAGATGCGTATTAAGTATGACAACTCCCAGGCTGTTCCTGCTTTATTTTGCAACAAACAAACGATATTGTTCTCCTTACCACGTGGCAGCTGACGCCAGTGTGTGTAATTATACAAAAGAGGTGATTCTAATAAAGGGAAACATAAATTACAGCCTCATCATGTTCTCTCTGAACGCATTGTCTATTAGTGTCAGAAAACCTAACAGACACATAGGGAAAGCAGCAGTGCCAATTTGTCTACAGGATAACCAAATGAAACTGGGTTGTTGTTTTAACAAGTAATTCCGTGCAACCCCAGCAAGAATAATTAGTGTGCTGTTTTTAATGTTTAAACGTGTTTATAGGAGCGGTTTTGAGCATCATCTGAATTTAGGTCTTGTGTAAACCTGGGAGGGTCAGGTGCATTTTGACCTCTTCCTCCCTCCTTGACTGTTATTTTAGAGACTTGTAGTATTTTTATTTTCTGTAGGCCATGTCCATGAATGTTAACCTATGACCGATGTAGGTGAAGCTCTAAAATGGAGCGACTTTCAGTTTTACTTGGTTTCAGATATTTTGTTAATTGATCGTGTGATATTTGGGCTCAATAATATCAAATGTCCATGATTGGGCTTGTTTAGAATTTCGCACAATACTACTTGAGGGCCATCTGTGCTAGTCGTCCCTAACTTGGCAGAGGGAAGACAGCCCACTCTTTTACTAACGAATAGTGGGCGTGGCCGTCACCTTATAAAGCCCTCACAGCTCAAAGGGCGCTCGTGTTCGGTAGCGAGGATTCGAATCCACGACCTGCAGGTTAGGAGTCGCGCGCTCTAACCACCAGGCTGTGCCAGACACAGATGAAAAGAATGGTTAGTATTAAAATTCATTTCAACATGACTCCAGTCCTCGCTTGCATAAACTCAAATATAATCATTAATTCGAATCACAGTTTAGCGATCGACATTATTTGCTGTTAAGGTCGAGCTTCTATGTAAACATGGGGATGAAAGAATGGTTGGTGTCATCGGAACTTTCATTGGTGTTAAACTGTGACGTTGGCACACGTTTTTTTGTTTGTTGTTGTTGTTTTTTATCTTTGTTGACATTTTAGTTGTTTTTCGGGTGTGTGTATAGGTATGATATCTGGATACTCCAATATCTGAACAATATTTATGCACCTTGCACATTGATATTGTATGATAAACATATTTACTAATGTGTCATAGTTTATTATAAGGTTTAGCACTGTTTATATTGCACTTTGCTATTCAAGAAATTCTGTTTGAGTGTGTATTATTTAAAATCTAAGCTGAGACGCGAAGTCCTACAGTATTTAATCCACTTCTTTACGTCTAAGCTTTGTAGTTGTTGTTTTTGTCTATTTGTATGTGTGTGTGTATGTGTTACATATCAGGAAAATGGAAGATGGAGTACTTTAGAAACCGAGTTTCGATACCCGTGGTGACCATGGCACGGATAGCCCATTGTGTAGCTTTGTGCTTAATTACAACAAGCAAACATGGGAATCTTTCATGTATGACTTTAATAACCATTAAACCAGCAATAGAAAGGGTTAGGTAACTAACTGGTAGTTACAATTAGTGAATCTGTAGAAGGTATATAATATTTGCAGATATTAGAACACAATCCATTGTTGTTTCCAGCGCCCTCCTTAGTACATTTTTGATACTTGATTTTTCTGTGCGTTACAAATGTATATTTATACTTGCATTACTATCTATTTAAAATCTCGTTTTTTTCTTTTCAGGACATCTTCTAATACTCGCCCCTGTAAAAGTTGTTAGGTTAGTACTTTTATTGATTGCCCTGTAAAAGTTGTTCGATTAGTATCTGAAGTGATTGCCCCTGTAAAAGTTGTTCGATTAGTACCTGTATTAATTGCTCCTGTAAAAGTTGTTCGATTAGTTCCTGAATTGATTGTCCCCGTAAAAGTTGTTAGATTAGTACCTGTATTAATTGCCCCTGTAAAAGTTGTTCGATTAGTATCTGAAGTGATTGCCCCTGTAAAAGTTGTTCGATTAGTACCTGTATTAATTTCTCCTGTAAAAGTTGTTTGATTAGTTCCTGAATTGATTGTCCCTGTAAAAGTTGTTAGATTAGTACCTGTATTAATTGCTCCTGTAAAAGTTGTTCGATTAGTTCCTGAATTGATTGTCCCCGTAAAAGTTGTTAGATTAGTACCTGTATTAATTGCCCCTGTAAAAAGTTGTTCGATTAGTATCTGAAGTGATTGCCCTATAAAAGTTGTTCGATTAGTATCTGTATTTATTGCCCCTGTAAAAGTTATTCGATTAGTATCTGTATTATTTGCCCCTGTAAATGTTGTTCGATTAGTTTCTGAATTGCTTGCCCCTGTAAAAGTTGTTCGACTAGAACCTGTATTCATTGCTCCTGTAAAAGTTGTTTGATTAATACCTGTATTAATTGCTCCTGTAAAAGTTGTTCGATTAGTTCCTGAATTATTTGCCCCTATAAAAGTTGTGCGATTAGTACCTGTATTTATTGCCCCTGTAAAAGTTGTTCGATTAGTATCTGAAGTGATTGCCCCTGTAAAAGGTGTTCGATTAGTATCTGTATTATTTGCCCCTGTAAATGTTGTTCGATTAGTTTCTGAATTGCTTGCCCATGTAAAAGTTGTTCGAGTAGAACCTGTATTCATTGCTCCTGTAAAAGTTGTTTGATTAATACCTGTGTTAATGGCCCCTGTAAAAGTTGTTCGATTAGTATTTGTATTGATTGCCCCTGTAAAAGTTGTTCGATTAATACCTGAATTGAGCTTGTGCGTGGTTGAAGAGTGTCTGTGCCATTTTTACTTGTTTTGCCTCTGGTGATATTTAGAGCATTTTCCTCGTGTCCCCAGTGGGTCAGTTAGTTTTGTTTAATGTAATGTCATAGAACCCTTTCAGTTGCACGAATATGAAGGTTATAGGTATGGCAAGTAATTAACCGTTCATTCCTAACGGGTAAGTTGTGTGTATTGTTCTTGAACCTGTTGTGATTCAGGGTTTTAGTTTCAACGTTGTCTTGGAAATATCATCAGAAGAAGAACGCGCGTAAAGAATGCCTCAAGCTCCATCCATGCTGGCTTCAGATTTCATACCATCACGTTATTTAGCTTTTTTCGTTCAGCTTGTATTTCCAGCTATTCGTTCAAGCTGTCTTCGTGCTATGACGTGCCTTTTGTTCACACATTTCAAATAGCAACCAGTGAGATACCGTGCAACGTTGAGGAACTGAAGCTTTATTGGGAAAGTATAATTAGCAATAAATAGTCTACGTCAGCCACTGAATACTATAAAATTATTTATAAATTAGATTATTGCAGCGTATGTTATGCATTGAGGTCATAAGGAAATGAAGGCAAAAATTCCATATTGGGACGCCATTTTTATTTACCATGGTTGTTTTTTTTTTGCTTTTTTAACCTTTATTTTACTTTATTTATATCATTTAAGTAGTGAACTTACCTGTGATTTCATTCTTCTTTTTCCTTTTGCTCTGTTTCCTTTCAATTTCTTGAGTGTGGTGTCCCGATATGTATTTCATTCCCCGCACTTTAAGCTTTAGGTGTGTTGTAAGCGTAGCAGTCAGTCTCTTAGTGTGTATGCTAGGGTACTACCGACTGGTCTGCTTTTCCTCTGATCAAATGCTCAAAATTATCGACGACAACAGATAGCCTTAGTAGTTTTGTCGTATCTACAACGTACAACACCCGCATGGTCGGTCGCATTCTCGCTCTACCTCTTAGAGACAGCTACTTTATATTTGATATTTTATTGAAAGTTAGAATAAGTAGGATTTGCTGTAAATATGTATTTATATAATTGGGAAGTTTGAAACAAAAACATTTGAAGAGTGTGGTCTTTTCAACCATTCGTGTTAGGGGAGTATTCCTGGTTTTCAGTTAAATAAGAAACTAGAGAAATTCTCTCTCTCTCTCTTCACTCCATTCCCTGATAAGCTCTCTTCACTCCATTCCCGGATAAGTATTTAACTGAAAACCAGGAATACTCAGAAACTAGAGAAATTCTCTCTCTCTCTTCACTCCATTCCCGGCTCAGAATTTAAGTGAGAACCAGGAATACTCAGATTAAAGAATATCTCTCATTACCTCAATACCGAATATGACATTACAACAAACAAGAACGAGGAGGGGGGCGGCGTACTAAAAAAAAAAAGAATAATAATAATCACGATCCACAATTTTGGGCTGTGGACGCGTTATAAGAGCGACGGTCGAATCCCTCTATATATCAGTTACAGTAGCTCGTATATTGATGGTAGGTGGTATTGATTAACTGCCTTTCCTGTAGTCTGTCAGTTCAAAATTAGGAACGGCTATGCGCATATAGCTATTTGTGTAGCTTTGCGCGAATATTTTAAAACAAAAACCAAATCTGCTTTGGTTTGGTTTTTAGTTGTTGTTGTTTTAAGTAAAAAAAAAAAGTTTAATTCGTTCAAGATCCTAGTTTTGACAGTTGTGTTAGGTGTAATAAACTGTATTTGTATTTATTATCTAGACACACTTTTAGAACAAATGATTGTCACTGTTATGCTTTTTAATAAATATGTGAGTTTTACTATTACGGATTCGTATGAATTCGTGATTATCTCTACGGTATAGTATAAATGCAGTACAGTTACTGTAATATATTCCTATAAATAGACATAATATCACTGTGATAATTGTAAAATATATTCTTTGAAACTAACAAACTTTACTATTGGGACATATAATTCTATATAATATAGCCTTGATCGAGTACTTTATTTCTCCCTTTTATTAATCTCGACAGTATATCTTTTGTCTGGAAGCATGGTTTTAAGAGCATTTAATTACAACAATTTTAAAGAGCAGTGTGTGGCGCTGCAATTGTGCGTACGCGTTTTTGATTGGTTGCCTTTTCTCTGACAGAAACTGTCACTACAGGTTGCTGTGCAAAGTGGTCTCCTTACAGCTAGACTTCCCATCATCGAGTGGCTGAAGCGTGGAAGCAAGGGGACTTTCTCCACTGTATTGTCTGTAAACCAGGGTAAGACTAGAACTCTGAATCATAAACATAATCCAGTAAACAGTTAAGAATAGGTAAAAGAATAAACAGTATTATGTTTGCGTAGAATATGAGTAAGTTAATTTTATATCTTTAATAACTTTTTTAGAGATATTATATTTATTTATTTATTTTAAGTACTAAAGACGTTATTAGAAGTAAATGAACAGAGTAAATACTGCCTATCAGTCCCTTAATGCTTCGGATAGTTATGATAAGAACAAGAAAAACGTAGCATTGATGGAAAATATTCTTGCTATAGCGTTTTAACTTCGGTGACGTCAGTCCAAACTTTATGTTAAACTGCTCATGAGTTAAGTTACCTATATATAGTAGTGTCTGTCCAACAGGTAGTGGGGCATATCGACGTTGTGTTCTGTGTTCTCTAACAAGAATTAAATATTAAATTTTGAATTGTGTAATCAAACAAAACCCTATCGTTTTCATCATGTTGTCATATCTTCTTACCTCTGGATTAATTAAGACAGGCCTACGTATGAAAACCGTTAGAGTTTAAATCGGTTATAGCGTTTTATTAAAGCTTAATGTGATTTACCAACTTTTTTTTTTGTTCTAATGAGAATAACATTGATAACCATTGCTTTCTTTCCATGAAGTACTCATTCTATTTTCAAATGTCGTTTTTCATACAAAATAATCCTCCCGTGGGGCGGTAAGTTTACGGGCTTACAATACTAAAATACGAGGTTCGATCCACCTGGTGGTCAGAGCGCAGATAGCCCATTGTGTAGCTTTGCACGAAAACAAGATTGGAAGTTCTTCCTGCAGATAAAATAATTAAATAAAAGTTGTATGAACATTGAAAAAAGATGCAACAGAAACTGAATGTTTTGATTAATTAAAATACTAGTCAATTCCAAGCCTTTTAGGTTTCAGTTGAACGTATTTTTCTACCGCTACATCCTAAATGTACGGAATTTTCTTTGTTATCAGTATCTAAGTGGTATAACGTCGAGCAGGCGTAAGTCAAAACCGGTAGCTAAGTTGGGACAACAAATGTCTCACTAATAAATAAAAACCGATAAACCGAACATTCTAAAAAATAAAAACTGTTGACATGACCCTAGAATGGATTTGTATCCTTACATTAAACTATTGTCGTCTATCACGAGGTGTTAGTCTTCAGTTTACCTAACACCTGGTGATGGACGACAATAGTTCCAATGTAGGGATACAAAACCATTCTAGGGTCATTCTTCAGTTTACATGACCCTAGAATGGTTTTGTATCCATACATTGGAACTATTGTCGTCCATCACCAAGTGCTAGTCTTATTGATACCTCACAGTAGATTTGCAATCAGATGTAAGGAGAAATTATAATGGAAAATATTTTGACAGATTACACTCCTAGTTTGATGTTTTGCATATTTAAATAACGTTTCGAAATATCTCTACAACTCATAAATTGGGACATGTTCAATTACAAAGAAAAATAAAACTTTTTGAAGGATGTTACATTTATCTGTTAGCACATTTTGAAGGATGTTACATTTATCTGTATATGGTACTGGATGTCATTTCGAAGGAAGAGTAGTATTTTATGAACATAATGCCATTGAAAAATAGGGTAACGATATTTATCGAAAGTTTAAATAATTTTACTAATGGGTGCCACAATACAAAATTTCTTAGAGAATGTAATGTTTATAACTCGAGATTGAATTCGTCCACATTTACAAATTTCATAATAATGTATAAATTGTTGTTGTTTTTGTTTGTAGTTAAGCCCAAAGCTACACAAAGGGCTATCTGTGCTCTGCCCACCACGGGTATCGAAACCCAGTTTCTCAGGGTATAAGATACGTGTATAATCGCAAGTTTCATTAATATAAGGTTGACTACCTTGGCCTGTTTCTTATAGTTAAGTGTTACAAAACCGTCTATTACATTAAATTTTTGTTGCAGATATATTCATCATTTCTAAACGTCCTTTCTTTTTACTTTCCCCAGGACTTGACGATGTTTGTAGCACACGGCGTGTATATCTTAAATATACCAAATTGTTCAAAGAAGTCAAGTCACTCGGTTTGAATGAAGGTTTACGCCGACGTGATATTCTATACTTTCTGTTCCCATGACACTTATTCTATATTTAAAAAAAAAAAACATTTATGATTTTTAGTCTTGACTGATCATTAAGTTTTAATTATAAATGTTTGAATGAAGTTACATCACAAAATATTTTATCCATAGCGCCATCTGGTAATACAATAATTTCACAACATTCATTACTAGTTTTATATATTAATGTCGGAAAGGTGTGATTCAAGTTATCGAATTATAGTTAACGTATTAAAACCTTAAAATTTAAACCTAATATCGTTAACAGAAGGATACCTGATAACCACTGTCTGTTAAAATGTTTTAGTTGGTTAACTTTTCCTTCTTATCGTTGTAAACAATCTCGGAATATAAAAGAAAGAAGGAGTTGTCGCCCGTTGCACACAGTTCAAAACAATATGTCTGACTGCACTTTGAACACGTAGGTAGATAATTTCATGTTGTTAGATTGTAACAATAGATTTTAAGAATAAATCTTATAAGGAGAGCAAAACTAAAGAGCAAATACATAAAACACATGGCCAGGTGGTTAGGGTGCTCGACTCGCAATCTGCGGGTCGCGAGTTCGAATCCCCGTCCCATCAAACATGCTCGCCCTTTCAGTCGAGGGGGCGTTATAATGTGACGGTCAATCACACTATTCGTTGGTAAAAGAGTAGCCCAAGAGTTGACGATAAGTGGTGATGACTAGCTGCTTTCCCTCTAGTCTTACACTGCTAAATTAGGGACAGCTAGCGCAGATAGCCCTCGTGTAGCTTTGCACGAAATCCATAACAAACAAACATAAAACATATTCGATTGTAAAATTATTCTTATGGTTGTAAAGAGAAATACATCGCAAATATTTATGTTAGTAAGTTGTTTATATTAGACGCTAGAGAAAATGTTTTTACATTGTTTACTAAAAGATTACTGAAAAGTATTAACTTATGAAATAGCCCCCCAGTGGCACAGCGGTATGTCTGCGGACTTACAATGCTAGAATCCGGTTTTCGATACCAGTGATGGGCAGAGCACAGATATCCCATTTTGTTGCTTTTTGCTTAATTACAAACAAACAAACAATCTTATGAAATATTTTTTCTTTACCTTGTTTGTTTGTTTGCAGTTAAGCAGACATGCCGCTGTGCCACCGGGGGCGAGGGGGGCTTTTCTTTACCTTAGTACTGAAAATATATTATTAGAATTGGGAGTTTTAACACTTTGAGTTAAAAAAAAAGTTTCAAGAGAAATGTAGATCTTTTTCGAATTAATGAAATCCTGAGTTTAGAGTAAAGCTCTATACAATACGTAATGTTCTAGTGTGCTATATTTAAAGACTTTTACATTTTAAAATATATTATACATCGAGAAACGTCTCAAAGCAGAAGAATGTGATCGCTTAATTGGACAGTATGACTTGTTTCTATCTCAGGTTGTGAAGCCAAGTTCCTCATCTTCAATGATTTTCACCTCAAAACCGATAGGCTTGACTGTTTTTGGTTCAAACATATGGGCCAAGCTACGAATTACGAGTCCTCGTGGCATGTTGTCAAACTCATTTTGATACATTCTCGTGGCTAAACAACTGTTGAAAGGGGCCTTTCTGTGAATGAATGGCTAATGCTTTAAAACATGAAGGATGTCTCACTTGTTTGTCACCAGTTAATTTATGAATTATGTGCAGTCAGTTGGAGGTGTTCTGGAAGCTCCTTTGTCGAAGGAACTGCTTACTGCCACTGAAAGTGGTAGATAGAAATATAACAAATATCTCAATCAACGGAACTGAATGACGGCTGAACTGAATGAAAAGACACTGAAAAGGAAAGTTATCCTTGAGGATATTGCAAAACTTCAGGCTAAACACCAAAGGTTTGAAAAATATATCCTTAATTGAGGCTACTGATGAACTTGCTGACAAGGCCCCAAAAAAGGCAATATGGTTTGACCTGTTTGTCAAAATCAAAAAGTTTCAGTAAAACGCCAGAAGAAAAGTCTTTAGGATTAAACATTTTGCATGAAGAACTTGCAAAGATGTTGGAAAAGTCAAAGAGTTGTTTGTTTTTGTTAAGCACAAAGCTACACAATGGGCTATCTGTGCTCTGCCCACCACGGGTATCGAAACCTGGTTGCTAGCGTTGTAGGTCCGCAGACGTACCGCTGTGCCACTGGGTTGGGGCAAAGAATTGTTAATCTATGTCCTATTATTGTGTTTCCCATGTAGTCAGTCATACATGTGTAATATATACAGAATAAACAATTAATGTGGATTATATGATTTACTTCATGTTATAGTTGGTCTGTAAAATCATTTTTGAGAGCTATGGAAAGTTTTGGAAAAGTCATGGAAATCTGAATCACCAAAGGTGTACGAACCCTTTAAACGTTCTATAAAATAAATTTAACGGAGTACTTAATCAAAGCTAAAAAAAAAGACGCCAGTAAAAACATAGTAGTTAGTGGTTAAAATAATCAAACATTATAAAACAATAATAATGAAAACCGTGCATAATAACTGATTAGATAAAAGAGGCAAAGCCTCGTGATAGACAGTTGTCCGAAGCGTCGTTTGAAATAAAGTTAAAAGATTTGAAATTGATTTTACTACTTTTTTGCTCTTATGTTGTTGACTTAGTTCACCAGAATTCCACATGATAGCCTTGTTGACCAAAGTAACCATCTGGTGGATAAAGTGTTATTTATCACCACTTTTTTTTATGTTTTCTATTCAATTCCAAAGGTAGAAGTAAGTTAAACATAAAAGGTCAGAGTTACATTTTAGGTCACACACGTGTTTAACACAGGTAACTGTTGTTTTCATAGTAATAACTCATTTAGTTCTAAGTATTTTTAAAAGAGTAATCCATTTCTTTTCTAAGATATGGCCCGGCATGGCCAGGTGGTTAGAGCGCTTGACTC